AAGAAAATATTTTTTATTTTTAATTAAATAAAAATTTACCAAAAGTTTTATATATAATTTGAAAATTATATACTCTACCCTTAATTGAAAATAGAATTAGAATTAAAGAAAAATCATAAATTCCAGGAGAAATGTATTATAATAGCTCAAGTACTACTTGGAAAAGAACCCATAATTGAATATCATCCATTGTTTATGGAAGGATTAGATTTTGATGTCTTCTTCCAAATTAATCAAATCATATTAGAGGTGCAAGAAGTACAACATCAGCTTCATAACATCAGCTTCATAACACTAGCTAGTATAAAGATGTCAAAAAACTCAAAGATATTGTTAATTGTGATCAGAAAAAAAGATGCATACGTCAAGATAACGGAATTTTCTTAATTGAGGTATGGTATGACGAAAAACAGGAATAGTTATCCACGAAAGAATACAAAAAATTAAAAGTTTCGTTAATCAAGCATCCCAAATTTTCGATCTATAATCAATTCATAATATAACTTAATATAAATTAGTGATCGTACCTAAGATAGAATAACCGGTTAACTGTTAGGTTACCCGGATATCCGGATATAAAATTGATTAACGGGTTAATAATTAAGATATCCGGTTAAAAGACAATATGATATATTCACCAGTCCTTATTTATACTTCTATACTATCTTTTCGCGCTTATTGCCAGATTTCAGATTTGGGCTGATCCAGAGTTTTTATATTTCTTTTTGATTAATTTTTTTTTACTTTTTTTAATGATATATGAAATTTTAAACTATTAATGTTAACGTTACTAACGAAAGGTAAAAGTTGTTGGCTAAAAAAAAAAAAAAAAGAGAAAATAGTGAAAGAAAAACGTTATAATTGTAATAAAACTAAACATCATGAAATACGCAACTTCAATTCGGAAAGATAGTATTATTATCCACAAAGTGGACAATAACACGGTATTACGAATAGTTGTGGTGTATGGTTTAGTAAAGTAGTGGAGTGCTTCAAAAATCGCATTTGAGTATATAAAATTAGCATACTATACTCAAAATATTATATATAAAATAGTCTGGAACACTATCGGCTATATCTGGAAGGACATAAATTACACTGATATTTTCCATCATTTGAAGGTATGGTCGAAAGAATGTTATCATCATTTGGGGGTCTAAAAAGAGCATCTTTTTGATTATTGGCTGTGACCTGAAAGAACGTAAATTGCATTAATGCCCGCCATCATTTGAAGGTCTAAAAACAGCATCGATTATGACTTGAAGAACATAAATTACACTAATGTCTGCCGTCATTTGAAGGTTTAAAAAGCATTTATGTACCATTTGTTTCGAACTTTGGCATTCTTTGAAACCAATTTTTTAAAAAAAAATTCAGAATGCTGTACTATATACATGTCTTTGTAAAAGGAATGTAAATTAATATTCTTGTGGTTTGTACAATTTAATTCAAAAACTACAAGTTTTGACGTCAAATATCTTCAAATATACTCATACTTTTGTTAATTATTACATATTTTATCAAGTCATCACATTCTTCAAACAACTGCAAAAATTGCAATTAATTGACTTTTTGTAACAATTGGGTTCAAATAGTTGCAATAATTATTCAGTAGGAAGAAAAACTTGATTAAATAATAATAATCTTGAAACCTGTTATAGTAAACTTTCGCTGTAACTAGATTTCTCTCTACATATGAACTACCTTTATTTTTTGTCGACATATGAATAACAGCATATGTATACAGTTAATTTTCGTATAATGAACTGACAATTCTTATAATAAAAATTTTTATGTTCCTTATAGAAGTAGTTTATTATTTCCGATGCCGGGCTCTAATAAATATTTTTGAAAAATGTTTATTATACTGTTATAGAGCATAGATGCGTTCATTATAAAAAGATGAGTTGCAAGAATAACTGCACCCTCCATTAGTGATTTACTGACCCAAAGCCTGAAGTCTAGTTTTCTCTAACGTCATGTTTGCATAAATTTTATATACACGTTATATTACTTTATACTCAGTTGTGACCTAACCATCATACTCACGTGTTTGCTAATTTAATGTATTATACTCTACTACTTACTAAACCATACACCACTACGTACTTTCATATTACTTACAATAACATATACATATTTTTATATCTTAGTAATAAATTGTATATAATAGTAAAATCTGAATTGCGACTAGTAGAGGGTATATCCGGATATAACCGTTACCCTCTTATTTTATTAGGGTATAAACCCGGTTATTAGATTTTATTAAAGGTTATATCCTTTCGAGTAAAAGGTTAACCGGGTAAAATCACTAATATATATATGTTTTTAATTTTATATCATGTAATTTTTTCATTATTTCATCTATTAACTTTAATATACAATTTACATTTCAGCATAAAAATACATAAGACCTAAAATCTTCAATAATTCTTGCAAAATAATCTGAATTTCTATTTTATTTATTTTTCACGAGTTTCTGTACAATTTTGTCCGATACATTCAACTAAAATGCAGTTATATGTAGATGAAAAATACATGATCTAACTCTAATAATTATGATCTTAAAACCCATTATGAATTATAAGACTTAATGATATACATTCTTGAACTGTCTTCTTCTGTATCACCACAATAATATGATGAATTTTCTTTATCATTTTCATACCCGTTACTATTTAATTCATATCTAATTCTTTTTGCCATTGGAGTGATATTAATTTTAGGTGTTCTAGATTTTTCTGCCTCTAATGGAATACTTGGCAGTTCAGGATAAAATTTTCGTTTTTTTCCAGAACTCTCTCTATTAAGAAGATTTTTCATATACTGACCATCCTTACAAATGACCTGCCTCAGGTAATTTATTAAATTGAATACGTTCTCAATATCTATTTCCATACAACCCGATTGCAGGTCAAAACACTTGACATCTTGATCATAAATATATATGATGCGATTTGATTCGCGGTTGTAAAGTGGTCTTAATATTCCAAGACGTATATGAGCATTATTGGCTAAAGCAACATGTACTCGGACCTTAGATATTTCTGATTCTAAAATAATATATGTTGAAAGTATACGATTTAGAGTATAGACAGCCTCAGCAACTATCACTGCAAAATCTTTATGAATCCGCGCTCCATCAACTTCAAATTCCAATATAAAAAAAGGGTATTGCTCCTTTGTGTTAAGGGAAATAGCAACGCATGCAAAATCTGATCTGGACGATCCTTTTCCACTGTCGCCAGGTATTTGATGGTGAAGTTCCCATGTTGGCTCAAAATGGTCAATGTTAAGTGTAAATGCATCTGATAATATTTTTGCCCATAATTGCGCTTTGTAATGATTTTCAGATGGAGAGGCACCAGATCGAACTGGTGAAGGCACAAATAATAGAACTGATGTTAATGCAGATAAAGCTGTTGGTACATCAATAATAAAGTCAGCAGACCCTGAGCCCAACCAATGTTGTATTCTATTTATAATACTTGACTTCGTTGTTCTAATTTTTCCTTCATTAATTATTCTATTCAAGGCTGGAATAGCATTCAGCAGTTTTTTATGTTGTGTACTCTTTAATGCTTCTATTAAAAAACCAAAATTTACAGTCGGTTTATGAAGGTCTGGATAGTGTATTTGATCTGGCGTCGGAAACAAGTTACTGTCCACGACCGACCACATAAGTAATCTACAAAGGTGTCTTCCACGCTGAGACTCTTCATCAAGAGGGCGATTCTTTAATTGCTCTAATATTTTACAATATTCTTCCAAATCCGGAAAAGCCTTTGTATTTACAAAAACATGCTGGACATCATTATTATTGGCTTTTTCATCGGTTCGTTTATGAATTCTTGAATTATTTTTTGGTAATTGTTGTCCCGTTTTAATCTATACATTTTAAAGGAAATCAGAAACTTAAAAATTAAACAATATTCTTCATAAATTTTAGTTACATGCTAACCTTTTTTGGAGGAGTTAATGGTGGTTCTTCATTTTTGTAAGCTTGCTTGCATCCACTTACTGAATCAGGAATTGAATTATCAATTGTGGAAACATATTCATCGGTTCGAATGGGAAATTCATTCTTAATATTATGGAGAATACAAAATAAGTATGTAGTTCTTTGATCTTCAATAAAATGCGCGTCTATACCTCTGCTTGCTTTCCTTTCTTTGATGGTACACAACTTATAGTTCTATCATTTAAAGTCGCAATATTTCCGGAGAATATCGAATTGTGGATATTAACTGAGGGACCAGAACTTATTTCACGTGATTCTTTTTCATTCTTCCAATCCATGGCACGTTTGCGATCAACTCGAATACCCTAACATGAAAGTAATTAGCAATGTAATAAATCTCCAAATTTATTATCTAATTTTCTCATCCCAACAAGTCAGCGAGGAGCTTTGAACACAGGCAACCGAGGAGGTTATCTGTGCCTTGTGGGACCAGTGCTGGGTCAGCGAAGAGCTTTGAACATCAGGCAACCGAAGAGGTTACCTGTGCCCCAACATTGGTTTTGTGGCTCAGCGAAGAGCTTTGAATGACAAAAACCAAGGAGGTTCTCGCCACGCCACTATTTTACAGTTACAATTTTAACATATTTATTACTTGCCTTTTTATATTTATCGAGTAGTACCTTTGCCTTTTCTTTTCTCTTGCCCTGCTCGCTGTCAAAAATGATCTTGAGACTTTTAAGATAGTCGTCTATTTTTTGTTCGTAAGACCCCCGTTCACATCCGTCAAGAAAATCGACAATATCCCATTTACAGGGTTTACAATTGAAATACTTATGTGCTGGCATAAAACTGATTATTTACAAGTGTGTTTTGAAATTGGTATAGTGAAAGTTTATTGTTATTGGCTGATGATTAATAGTAACGTGATCGGATACAAATATTTCAGCGCGTCTACGGGCACGTACTAAAATTCACGTATCTATTATAAACTCAAACCTGTCACGTGCTAATATGGCTAGGTGCTGAGAAAAGGGACGAAATTGACAAAAAAAAAGATCTTCGAAAAATCAATTTTTATGTTGTAAATCTTATAATAAATCATAAAAAAAATGCAAACTTTAAGAAGCTATATTACAAAATTTTATTAACACAGCTACTTTTAAGTTTTAAGTGAAAAATGATCTTAATCTTATTTTAAATTGATTTATGCAAAAAAACAGCTTTTGAAAA